GTGTGCCTGTGTGGTGTACTGTCAAGGTTCTGAGCTCACAACAGGAGTTTCATACACGTGTGGCTCATGCCAAGCCCTCCTGTTCCCATGGAGAAAGAAGATGACTTCTGTAAACAGAAGACCTCATTCTTAGATGAAATCTTACCTGAAATTATCTGCGCTGCTTAGACCCTGTAGATCTTCCTTCAGTCAAAGAAAGAAAATGGTTTGACTTAATCATGAAAGTGCCTGATATTTCCCACTCACTATTTTACTGGCATTATTAGTCCCCACGATTATATAGGAGTTACTAGGTATGCTAATCCTTTCAAAAATATCTGAACTACTGGAAAACTGGATATTTTTATGGAATCAAGTAGGACAGATATGCAAGATGATGGGGGAGAAGGGGAAGATATTTCCAAGAAATAGAGCAAAAAAGCTTTACTTTTCACCTCTCCTTTCCCTGTTGTGGTCATTCCAGTTTTTAAATCTCGCATATAAGTATTTCTGAGTCAGCAATCTGCAAAGCCATGTTTTAGTAAATTAAACAGCTATTAAATATAGCTCCAGAAATTAAAATAGCTATTGAGTTCCTCTAAAAATGCCTCCTTAAATGACAGTTCAGGAAAACATCATTCACCTTAATGGAGAAGCACTGTAATGGAGCAAGAAGCAACTTGGAAGCAGAAGCAGCGAAGACGGGAAGACGGGTTCAAGTTCCCCCTCATATTTTTTTAGGAAGAAAAACTATCTTTTCATAAGTAGCTCACACACAATCCCAGCCAGGTCCACATAGGTTTAGACAGGACTTGGTTCAACCTCTCCCCTCTTTTCTTGTTTTTGTGTTCAAAAAAAGCCCTAGGAAAAAGTGTGTTTGGCAAAGGTGTATGCATATATATCTTAAGACACAGAGGGAACTATATTAATGCTGGTGGCTGGGTTGATTTGTGCGTGCAGGGGCTGGGAAAGGATCCCTACACTCATATCTGTTTCCTGAGTCTTCACTGTAACCTACTGAAGGTTGCAGCCCTGTTTGAACCCAGAGCTAATTCACAATACACCACAAAATGTAATGATATATTCCATTGCACGGGTACAGTAAAGTCACTGTTTAATACCCTGCCCTAATTTCAGGCTTTAAAAAAGGATGGCCAGAGAGGTGAAAGAGAGGTACCTTTTTCATGCAAAAGCCAGGTCAGCCAGGGGAGGTGAAGTGCCTGTTTCTCAGCAACAGCCTGGCTTTGATTCTTGGCCTGGATTCACACCAAGAAGTGTTTAAAGTCAGTCAAATGTCCAAACAGATTACAAATGTGACTGAGTTTAAACAACAAAAATGTGTCTACAATATTTGTTTGCCCCAGAAACTCTACATGTCTAAAAAAAAAAAAAAAAAAAACACAGCCTTTTACAGTCTGGACCTTGGTGGCTGATTTATTGGCTTTCCTGTTTTCATCAACATGTTCAAGTTGCTAAAAACCCACCCTGCTAAGCCTAATGTGTCTGGAATTCATCTTCACCTCAGTACCATCTGCAATAACATGCAACAGATCCCTGATCCACAACTGTAATATCTCTCCAGGAGTATCTGCCAGTAAAAAAATAATATAAAACAAAAAGAAAAGGAAAGGATGAGTAGGATGAGCCTGCCTCCAGCTTGGGACAATTCCTTGGTCCCATTTTCCTTGATAATCATAGTAAGCTGTTGTACTTTCATTTTCTTCTGGGGAGGGTGATGGGGTTTTTGTTTTAATGAGCTCATAACCTGGCAAATAGCAGAGACTTTTCCAGTTCCTGTGGGAAGATTCTGTTCTTTTTATTTCTACAATAGTGAAATTAAGCTGTGAGCATTGGGAAAACAGTTAGAAAAGTGTCCTGTGATCACTTGCCCCGGTGAAGTTCTTATCTTCAGTGACACTTCCTTTCTACAGCTTTTCTCCACTCCAGTCTTGGTGGGAGCACCACTTTGCTGGCAGTAACAGGAGGGGAAAGGACGATTTTGGTTTGTGTGCCTGTGAATGAGCAGCTGAAGTACCATTCACCCTAAAACACACTCAAAAATCTTCTTAGAGCTTTCTTAAGCGGACCAAAACCCTGACCTAGAGTCATGTCATCCAGAGGGATTGCTGCAGGCTGCCAGGGATGGGGGTAGAAAAGCAGGGTGAGTTATTAAACAACCCCTCCCTTACACTATCCTGCCTCTGATAACTTCTAAGCCTTCCCATGCCTGATGTGTTCACATCCTTGGTGTCCCTGAGAGAATTTCTGACACAAATTTCTTGTCTCCTCTTGAGTTTTGTTGTCGCCTAGCATCCACTAGACCCTTGGAAAGGCTTCCCCTTTTTCTGGCCTTCACCCTGGTTCCTTTTAGTTCCATTTGAAGGCCCCTTAGTTGCACACAGAAATGTGTATCTGCCTCTGTCCTTTCTGATTGCTGTACTTGAGTGGTAGCACTGAGGTGTAACTTTAGTCAGGCTCAGATGATCTTCAAGGCTTCCCAGAGGCACAAATGGCAAGGGTGGGTATGGCAGCTACGCCATGGGAGACAAGTGAACCCTGTGTGTGTGCCCACAGGCTGTGAGCTCACAGCTGGCTCTAGAATCACTTCCAAGTAAGAATATTTTAGGCATTTGGCCTCATGCACAGATACCCTGCAAACAGAAGAAGGAACTCCAATCTCTGAACACACTGTGTTGCGAGTAGTTCTGTATGCAGGTCCATTAGCAACAAACATGTTGAAGGAAGTTATTATTGTGGTAATTTTATTGACAGAGCTGGAAAATCCCTTTGTATCACTTCTCTCATTCTCTTCACTTTTTGCTTTGTTCTGCATACACACAGTAGTACCTCTCCTAATTTGGGCTCTCCAGGCTAAGACAAGCAATATAAGAACTGCAGTGACTAAAACGGTGAGAAAGAGTTGACAACCAAAAAATCCCTCAGGAGCAATTACTTTCATATATTTACTCAAAAAAAAAAAAAAAGGCAAGCATTCTTGGAAGGAAAGGTGTGAAAAAATATTTAATAGGCAACAGGAGAGCTTCAGTTTTAAAATATCAAGAGCTCATCTCAGTGGAGCTTGCTGACATCTTAAGGGACATTACTGCATGAGAAAGAAAGAGTGGAAATCCATCTTAGCCAAATTTGAAATGGAGCATCAGTACCATTTACCCTAATTTCTGACTTTATCATCATGAAAGCTACCTGCTGAGATGTGGTTAGATTTGCTCCGAGACATTTGTAGTAAATATGAGTCTAAATATAAGTAATTGGGATACTGAGTGCCTTGGCATATACTCAGGAGTGTGTGTTGCAGCAGAGGTTTTGGCCAGACAGAAAAGCTGACAAAGTCCAGGACCAAAGAGTCATATTTGAGGTGGAGAGTTCCTTACTGTTCCTTTAACAGTATAGGAGTAGACTGGAACTAGATAGGTAGAAAGCTGCTCTACAAAATCAAAGATACTGATTTGGAATAGAAGTATTTCACACAGAAAGCGCCAGGAGCATCTGGTAAACAGCCTGAAACTGGATAGCTGAACTTGGACTGCAACACTTGGGGATAAAGTTGGTGACAATGAGTTTTTTAACAGGATTGAGAACAATTTGGATTTTTGAGCACTGTGAGATCTGATGAAAAGCACCAGGAGGGAGCCGAGTGTACAATTATTGTTATTATTAAAAGCAATATTACAACACTGATATTATGAGCAAATCAACAGATGGCAAATGCCTTTTAGTGAAGGCAAAGGCAAAATAATGTGTCTGGTAGCAAGGAGGGAAGCTAATGATTATGTGCTAAATGAAACAGCCATTCAGCATGTTGGTCAGGAAAAAACATTTGGGAGTCATTGTGGAAAAAACATGGAAACCATTAGCCCAGTTCAGAATAGCAGAAAAGGTAAAAGCAAGAGAGGCTGTCATTCCTGTATGATGCTCTGGCTGGGTGCCCTGTTTCTGAACTCTCCTTGTGTTGTGGATGTGTTCACATTGCCCACAAAAGCAGGGGGCCCGTTCAGCTGGGCAAGGTGTCCCTGCACCCAAAAGGAGAGTCCCTGCTCCAAGACATTTAGGGTCAAAATCTCAAAAATGCCAGAGGTACTGAAGGGGGAACCCCTGGTTGCCCCACTGGGGGCACAGGGCTCTCTTGGCCATCCAAAGGCAGAGGAAGGAAGCCCTTCTGTCTCCAGCATTCTGGAAAAGGCAAACCAGCCAAGGCAGCCAGCAGGACCAGGCAGAGATCCCAGCTCAGCACCTCCAGGCTCTCCCTGCCCACGGGGTGAGAGGGCAGGATGCTGTCCCACACCACCCCAGCCAGCAGCTGAGGTCACTGATGCCATGACCTGAGCTCCTTGCCAGAGCCACATGGAGCTTCTTTGCCCAGGATGGATGCTGCACTTCTGAGCCAAGCCTGGGGAAAGGAGCGAGTGAAGCTCCTCTCCTTATCCCCAGGGGAAAGCAGGACACAGGGCTGAAGCTGGACAGGAAGGAGGTAACAGTGAGAGAATCCAAAAGTTGATTTTAGCTGTGTGATGGGGATTATCTGCACAGCATTCAAAGGGTACAAAACAGGGCTTCATTTGTTGTAAGATGACACAACTGCTCCAGTTCAGCTGCCCACAGCTTCCCCCGCTTCAGCAGCAATTTCTGTCAAGCCTTTCTGACTGCCAGGGCCAGACCCAAGCCATTAGCACAGAGGTAGAGGATGGCTTTTGTTTGCTTTTCTCCTGATCCTTTTTTTTCTTTTTTTCCAAATGGACTCTACTGCTAAATGCTACGAGTTTAAGCTTGGCTCATTTAAAAACAGAAAGGTCTGAGTCCAGTCATCTTTTAGTGACTTGCTTGCAGCCAGTTTTCCCACAAAAATAAGCAAACTGGAGAAAGGAGTCAGAGCCTAAGCCCTTTATGGGAGATTGATTGTAAAGCTGGTGGCAACATGACAAGCTGATTTGTGGTGGCTCCTCCGAGCTTGTTTGAACTGTAAACCTCAGTCACATTTATTTATTGTATCAATACAGGTTTGTCACATCCAGCCTGAACATAAATGCTGCTATCTCATGCCCTGGCCATGGAATGCCAGGCACAGGGAGGGCACAAGAATGTGTCTGTGTGTGGGTATGTGTGCATTCGTATCTCTGGGACACACCGTGCACAGCCTCTTGCCCCCAGTTATCCAGTGAATGCTGGATCGGGAGCTTGGCTTGCTGCCACATTTGGTGATGCCAAAGCTTTCCATGAAATACCAGCCTGAGGCTTCGTGGCTCCTTCACAGAGACCTGGACCCCTTTGCAGGGCTTAATTCGCTCACTGTCATCTTTTCCAGTGATAGCTGCAGCAGCTGTTTCTTCTTCCTCCATAGCATGTGGGTTGCCAGAAAGCCTGAGGGGCCCACCAGCCAATTTCCATACTTGGATCTAGGTCTGTATCTGCATCATATTTTCTTGAAACAGTAGTCACATAGTGGGTCTCTCTACCTTCTACACAAATGTGATTTAATGTCATCCTCAGCAGCACTGAGCTCATCTGCTATAACATGAAATTGTAAGAAGGATTGGCTCTTCTCTCATTAATGTAATCACTTTAGAGTAGTTGATATGTCCTATACACAGCTTATGGTGTAGAGTTTTATGGTGTATTCCTTCACCTCCATATAAGTCTAAACTGGTCATAAAAGATAACTACCTACTGAAGAAAAATATATTAATGTTGCTGAAACTGGGACACAAAAGGATTTTCATAGCAATGAATAAATAAATGCCTTGGCACAAGTCCTACTTTTCTTACACAGAAATATGTAGATAAAAGGGAAATTCTATACCACTCCACCACCTCTTTCTTATCTTTTACTCTGACCTTTTACTCTTTCCTTCCTTCCCTCATCAGCTGTGATCAGAACCATAATATTAATAATGCTAAAAGCACTGCAAGCCTCTTGCTGGTACCGAGGACCCCGGATTCACTGGCTAAACGTTCTGTGACTCCAGTGGCAGTTTTGGAAATGTTTTTGCCATTTTTCTCAGAGGCATCAGCCCACTAGGAAAATTAATAATGTTGAGGAGCAGGACTGTGCTGTACCTACCTCGAGTACCAGAGAGCAACACTGAGGCAGACTCTGGCGCTGAGTAAAGCTTGTCTAGACACAAAATTAGATTGGGTTAAAAAGACTTCTGTATTTCTGCTCTCTTCTGTTTATATGGCTCATATCAACACAGTATTTTAGTATGTGATGTCTATTTATATATTTAACAGTTGTTAAACTTCTGTGCAAAGCACTGTCTGGATATTTTTATTTTAGTTTAAAAGTGAGTCAAAATACAGTTATATGTGTAGCATGATTTAAGACTACCAGGGCTTTCCAGTGCAAAAGACAAAATCCAAAACTGCTTGTTGAGAAATTGTGGATGTCCTTCTTCTGCAAGTGTTCAAGGCCAGGTTTGATGAGGCTTTGGGCAACCTGGTCTAGTGGGAGGTGTCCCTGTTCACGTCAGGAAGGTTGGAACTAGGGAACCTCTCTCTTGAAGGGCCCTTCCAACCCAAACCATTCTATAATACTTACATAGACCCACCTTGCTCATAGCCATGAGGTCCTCCCTTCATCTGAATTATGCATCCCACAAGGAGTCCTTCACAGTAGGACAGGATTATAAACACTTGCAGGGTAATTTCCAGCAAGGCTACAGTAGGAACAAATTTGCCAGAGCTGGAAAAATGAATCTGTCATCACAAGATCAGTACTTGCAAGTAAAAGTGTTCAAGTTTAGCTTACGAAATTGTTTGCCTTGGCTTCAAGTCTGTCACTCTTAATGGATATTTTGTATTTCAGAAGCATAGAAGTGAAGGAGTGTGTACTTCCATCAATATTTCAACAACCTCTGGCTTTGGAAATATCTCAAACAGCCCATCTCTCCACTTTTTTTGCTGTGCATATGTAAAAAATGGCATGATGACTGCTGTTTCAACAGGTGGCTTCTCACTGTAATGTGCTCCATGTGCTGCACAGGTCTGCATTGTGCTCCTGCAGTCGGGCACCTCCGTGAGCAAAGCAAGCTCAGCTCTCACACAATAATGTTGACACTGCAACCCAAAAGTCAAAAATTCGAAGAAACATTGCCAAGCAAACAGATCCACACTGGAAACAAAAACCAAACACAGCAGCTGAAAGCTAGATTCGTTTCACATGCCTGAGTAAGAACAAACTGAATCTGTCAGTCAGCAAAGGGCAGCTACGAGGAATTGTCTCTCAGGAGCTCCACACTCTGCCATGGAAGAGAAGGTTTTACCTCAGTCAAGCATGGGATGCCTATCCATTTTCATATATCATTCCCAGGTAGTAAGAAAAAATTAAATCAATCATGAGATTAATGATAAAAAGTGAGTGTGTATCACTTCATCATCACTACCTCTCCCAGGTAACAGTGTCTCATTGAGGATTATAGGGATAGGGTTATTGCCCCGGATGAACCTTCTTCACTATCCTCTGAGGCATTTCAGTTCTCACTCTTCAAGGCACAAAACAAACCTGAGAGGAAAAAAACTGTTCCCAGAAATACTCATTTATAGAAGGTACCTCCTACCTTTTAGCAAGGCTGTTTTGAGGGGAGCAGTTCAGCCTTCTGTCAGAGGCAGTCTCCAGTTCATGTTTGAAGGCATTAACTCTGCCCTAGCTGAATCCAAGACAATAATTTTGGGCAGCAAACACCTCTGAATCACTTCTTGCACACAGATGGTTAGTACCAAGGCAAAAGTTTTCACTGTACTAGAGATGAGATTAGAAAAGTCAAAACTGAAAATAATTCAACATTCCAGTGCAACAGCAGATTAAATAATTGCTCAAGAAAATGTGTGCAAGGCCCATTATTGGTACACAGGAACATTTTAGGAATATTTTAGTTAACTGCCTTTAAAAAAAGACAACTATGGATGAAAAATACCCACTTAGCATTTCTTTCCTACAAGCAGCAGCCTAGGCTTTCATTTGGCTCATTTTTCTGATTACTATTCCACACCACCCTTTTTAAACAATGTCATTCAAGGAATCTTACCTGCTGTGCTTTGTGTAAACTGCCTTTAAAATACTACATCATGCTAAAATTTCTTTTTGAAAGGTCAAAAATTGATTAAACAAACTCAGTCTTTTTTTTTTTTTTTCTACCAGCAGGCTTAGTGCTATCACTTTTTCTTTTTGCCCTGATTCTTTTCCTGCCCCATGGTTATAGAGATAGTAGAACTGGAAAAAAAAATGGGGACAAATTTAAGCCTAAGTAAACCTTGTTAGTGATGCATCAAATCAATGAAATTTAGGCCTGGAATTGAGACTTCCCCAGCAGAAAACCCGTAATTTTAATCACTGCCTTTCACAGCACGGATATTGACATAGGCTTCCATCACTGCCAGCTCCTGGGTTGCTGGTATGGGTGAGTCTCACCACAAGGGCAGAGGTCCACACAAAGCACAGATCTCCACAGTAGGCTTGCTTCAACCTTTACAAAGGGAAGAAAAGAGCTCTCGGTGTTTCTTAGGACCAGTCTTGATGTGCCCAGTTTGAACAATGGGATCTTTGTGAGGTTGTACTGCTGGCTGGGTCAGTTCCCACCCAACCACGCTGTGCTATCAACCACCACCAGTACTGGACTAAAAAGAGCAGGGGCTGTACTGAAATTTGGCCCAGGAGGGGCAGTGAGGGTTTAGTTTGAAGGAGCACTGAGCAAAGGAGAGCTAGACAGCACTCAAGGCTTCAGCAGCCCATCAGCTCCTGGCATGGAGACCACTCCATTCACACCTACCCCACTGTTCATGGGGATGGAGAGGCACCATGCTGGGATCCATGTCGGAATCTGAGGTATTGATGATTCTGAGATTGTAGAAAGTCTCTGTCTTTCTGCCCCGCTGCCAAAGAAGAAGCCATAATTCGTCTGTGCTGGTTTCAAGGTTGTTTATTCTGTTTATCTCTAACATGTTCTGCTGCCCTGCCGCAGCTCTGTCCTGCAGGGCAGCGTGTGGGGCTCTGCCCTTAGTGGGATGTTACAAACATTAAATACCAGAAACTACCTGTGCTGTATTTACAATAATGGGCCAATATCTATCATCTACATTAAACAGCATGTCCCCAGCCTAAACCAATATAAAAATGCCAACACTACAGTGAAACATGGAGGGCATGAAGAAGGAGGAAAAGGACAAGACGCACCCAATTTCCTCCCTCTTGTCCCCTTTGAACCCATAATCTAGAAACCTAAAATTTTACTTTTGCACCCGTGTCACACTTAATTATTACTCATATCAAACACTCAGAGCTGGTAATTCATCCTGTAAGATTGAAAACTCTTTTCCATGGACAGAGATCACAGACAGTGTCTCTGGGGGCTCTGTCCAGGGGGGGTCCTGACCCCTGCCAGGGTCCCAGACCTGCCAGGGCAGCCAGAGGGAAGCCCTGGATTCCCACAGATCCATGCACTGCCAGGGTCTTCTGGCCTGCATCTGCATCAACATCAGCCAAGGGGAACCCTAAAATAACACCTTGCAAATGTGAGTGGGAAGAGGGAAAGGGAAAGCCTGATTACCTTCGAGGTAAATGTCCCTTTGATATCAAATCCCCTACCCCACGGCAGCAGCCTGCTGGTCTCTGGGGCTCAGTGTGACCCCAGAGTGGGTGGGCAGTGGGTCACTAAATGCTGCACAGTGACCCTGCCAGTGTGTGCATGGGCTGGAGAACAGTTCCTTTCTAATGACAAGGCTGTGGGCCAGGCCTGGGGTTTGTCCATGGAAGTGTGGAGTGCTCCAGTGACACGGGCCGGCTTAGGAGCTCCTGCATTTCACAAACACACTAAATAAATAAGCGGACCCATGACCAGTAACCACTGCTCCTGTAGGAAATCTGTGCAATGAAAAAGTCATCAGCCCTACCTTTTTTTATCCATTCCTCTCATTCCTCAACTTGAATTTCTTTCTGAGTTGTGCCTTGCCACTCCTCAGTCCCCTGCCTTCAAATGTCTGTTTCCTTCAGAGCTGCAACCCTGGCCACCAGCAAGGAAGAAAAAGCTGATAAAAGATGATACACAACTCTCACTATTCCACAGTTTTCTCTAGGCAGACTTAGAAAGGTCCCGAATGCAAAGAGAAATTAAATCAGCAGGTAGGAAGACAGATGCAAAGTGAAATTCAAGATGCTGAAAAGCTGCTTTTCTCCAGAGGTCCTACTCTTCCCTCTGTCCGGAAGACAGGAAGGAGCAGACTGTTCATGACAGAGGAGAGAAAACTTCTGGGGGTCTTTAGGGGGAACTCAGTCAGTGAAATTATTTTCCCACAGACCATGGCTGAACAAAGCTTTTTCCTGATTGAAGAATAAACCAACTATTAATTTATGACTTGAAGTGTGTAAACAGCCTTCCAAATGTTTTCCAGTTCTGCCCATACTGATGCCCATGTCTTTTCTCTTTGGGTTTGGTTCTCACCAGCTAATTTAGCTAATGGGCTAAATATACCTCACGAAGCTGCATCTTAAAAAAAAAATATATTTAAAATGGCTAATTAAAAACGAGTGCCAGCATAATGTTATATGTGTGTGCATAGAAAAGCACGTGTTAGAGGAAAAGCATAAGCACCCGGTGGGCTGGAGGGAAGGTGTTTCAGGTCACTAGCGAGGGGACAATCGTGCTCGGTGGGAGCAGCGACAGTGCAGAGGGGCTGCGGGGTGACACGGGCACACACGGCATCGCTGCCGGGACATCCTGCTCGCTGCACTTCTGCGAACTGACAAACGGCTCGGATCGCTTTGTTTGTTTAAACAAAAGCCGACGTTTTAACAGCAATAAATAGCAGGCTAAATAATTCACTGGGCCGGCCAGTGTGACCCCTGAGATTGCATCTCAGAAACTGAACCCCACGGCACCTTGGTTTGTATGCGCTCTCTCTTTGGGTAGACGGGATAAATTGTAAAATTAGATGGCAATATTAGCATCTTTCCTTCGCTTCTCCTCGCCGAAGGGGAGCTGCAGAGGGAACACTCCTCAAGCATTTCCTTTATGCGCGTAAGTAAATCGTGAAACATCAGGGAATGAGACAGGTTTATGGCTTTCCAGTAAAATGCGATACAACTCGCAGACACTGAGTGATTTCACAGTTACCTTCCCAAGCGAGGCAAAGAGAACAACAATAAGGGGGAAAAACCTCAACACCGTTTGCCTCTTGCTGTTGAAGGCTGGCAATGAGGTTGCAGGGGAAAATAACGTTTGTGATTTTCGAGCCGACTGCCTATGAACAGAAATACCAGCAGTAATGAAGCCACGGGACATTTTAAGCAATTTATTAGAGGATTGGGCTCAAAACACGGAGCGCCACCACCAAATTTTTTTTTTTTTTAAATTATGCGGTCATTGCTGATTCAAAGTCAGGGCTGTGGGTAGGGCTTATGTTTTCGTGATGCCTTTAGCAGCCCCCGCCCGTCCCGTGTGCTACTGCATGTTAGGGAAGAATTAAACTGCTTTCCCCGAAGCGGTCCGTGCCCTCGGCGGGGGCGGGGAAAGGGGTGCAGAGCCCGGGGGAGAGCGAAGCCATCACGGGTAGGGCTCTACCTTGTCCCTGGGCAGAGCCCGGCTGCCTGATGCCGGACCTCCCCGTCCCCATCCCTCTTCCAGGCGGAGACTTCAACGCCCCTTACACTTCTGAGGCGATAAAGACGACGCTCGGAATACAATAAAATACATAAATTCACCTATTTTCTCGCACCTCCCCCACCCGGGCCTGTGGGAAGAGGGGGAAGGTGGAGGACCCTTCCAGGATCATCCACTTTAAAATGCAAGTGGACTCTCCCGCATGCTCCCCTCGGGGTACGATAACTCCCCCGGGCGATAACTCTCCCGGGTCCCACTCCAAACGCCTCCGTGAGGTGCCTTTCCCTCTTTCCCGGCTCAGCATCTCCGGGGCTGCGCCCCAGCGCTGCGTTTTCAGGGAAGCTGGGAGCGCTTCCCGACGTCTTCAATAAGAGAGAAGAGAGAGGGACCCAAGGGGAGTCCTGAAGGTCAGCGGGCACCCTGTGGGTTGGCAGCCCGGTGGCATCTCCGAGCCCGGCTCCCATCGGCCAGCATCGCGCTTTTCATCTGCCTCCCGCCCGCTCCAACCTTTATGGCTAAACAAGTTCACAGTTTACACGCAGTAAAACGTCGATATTGCGCTTAATGGTTGCGGGGGAAAGGGTCTTCGCAGGGATCCTCATAAAAACCCTTTATTTAGTTTCGAGCATTTTCTTGTAATCAATAAAAGTTGTCTGTTATCTCCCGGCGCATTTAGCGGAGAAGTTTATTGCCTGCCGGGCGGATTAAGGGCGAGACAGGAGTGCACCATACATGGAAGGGACTCCCGAGTCCCTCGATCCGAGCCTCGCATTCATAAAATATAACCATCCATTACGCTGCCGATATCTGGAGCCAGCAAATATACACAGACCATAAATTGTCGCCGGCGGGGTGCGGGCCGGCCGCGGGCGCGGGGGCTCCGCCCGCATTCCTGCCCGCGC